TTATTAATATATTTTGTTAATCTAATTAAAAAATACTTCGGACTTTTGATTTGGAACCAAACCATTTAGGTTGATAAAATCTTTAATCAAATCATTTAGACATATGTTTTGGTTTGGTTTGAGTCGGTTTGGAATCGGTTGGATCGGTTTGGTTTGATTCAGCCCATCCCTAATTACTAGTTTTACTCCATGGAGTTTATTTCATTATTTTCATACCTAACACATTATTCAATACTGACCAAGGTCATAGTTTGAGCCGATAAAGAGTGAAAATCTATTTCTCTCTCGGAACAATCATATGGCACCAGATTTACACAAACTTAAGTCCACGTTCTGTATTTCCACATATCGAAAGTGCGGATCCATTTTCCACCAATATAGAAGTTCGAATTCTATTTTCCCATATACATTCAGTTTAATGTATACCAATCAACCTTAACCAAATTTTCTCAATTAAATACATAACTAAACCAAAATCTATACTATTATTTGCGAAGTGATTTTTTGCAACGGAGCTCCCACGTTAAAAGTTGGAGTGGTTAATATCTATTTTACCCTTAATGAAATTTTTATATATAACTAATTTTATAATTAAAAATGAAATTTAAAAAATAAAATTAGATAAGTACAGTATGTTATTATCTTAGATAATAAAGAATAATTAATATAATAAATTTATAAAAAAAACAAGATAATTCTTATATATGTTATTATTATCTGAATATAATATTGTAACAACATGATAATGCTTATAGATCTTAATTTTATATAAAAATGATTTTGACTTTTAAAAATAATATCATTATATTATAAAATTTAAAAATTAAAATATAAAATCGATTTTAATTAAATATTAATCAAACAAAAACATTTGTATAAAGATACTTTTAATTATATAATTAAATATTAGGTATTAAAAATTGGAACGGTTCAAGTTAATGATACATTTAATGAAATTTATATATTTATATATAAATTAGTTAACAAAATTTTCATTTATATGTTATTATATTAGTTAATTTATTATAAATTAATAGGCGAAGTGATTTTTCGCAACGGAGCTCCCACGTTAAAAGTTGGAGTGGTTAATATCTATTTTACCCTTAATGAAATTTTTATAGATAACTAATTTTATAATTAAAAACGAAATTTTAAAAATAAAATTAGATAAGTACAGTATGTTATTATCTTAGATAATAAAGAATAATTAATATAATAAATTTATAAAAAAACAAGATAATTCTTATATATGTTATTATTATCTGAATATAATATTGTAACAACATGATAATGCTTATAGATCTTAATTTTATATAAAATTGATTTTGACTTTTAAAAATAATTTTAATTAAATATTAATCAAACAAAAACATTTGTATAAAGATACTTTTAATTATATAATTAAATATTAGGTATTAAAAATTGGAACGGTTCAAGTTAATGATACATTTAATGAAATTTATATATTTATATATAAATTAGTTAACAAAATTTCATTTATATGTTATTATATTAGTTAATTTATTATAAATTAATAGGCGAAGTGATTTTTCGCAACGGAGCTCCCACGTTAAAAGTTGGAGTGGTTAATATCTATTTTACCCTTAATGAAATTTTTATAGATAACTAATTTTATAATTAAAAACGAAATTTTAAAAATAAAATTAGATAAGTACAGTATGTTATTATCTTAGATAATAAAGAATAATTAATATAATAAATTTATAAAAAAACAAGATAATTCTTATATATGTTATTATTATCTGAATATAATATTGTAACAACATGATAATGCTTATAGATCTTAATTTTATATAAAATTGATTTTGACTTTTAAAAATAATATCATTATATTATAAAATTTAAAAATTAAAATAGAAAATCGATTTTAATTAAATATTAATCAAACAAAAACATTTGTATAAAGATACTTTTAATTATATAATTAAATATTATGTATTAAAAATTGGAACGGTTCAAGTTAATGATACATTTAATGAAATTTATATATTTATATATAAATTAGTTAACAAAATTTTAATTTATATGTTATTATATTAGTTAATTTATTATAAATTAATAGGATAATTATCCACATTCATGCATATTTAAAACATAAGATATCTTATAGAATATTATACAATTATCTGAAAATAATGTTTTTATTGTGAAAAATAAAAATGTAAGTTATAAAACAATTTAAAATTAAATATTAAGAAAAAATATAAATATATTTTCAAAAATATTTTATTATTGATGTAAAATCAAATAAAAATATTTTAATGTTTGATTTTGGTTTTTTAAAACTATAGAAAATAACTTATAATATTATTTTAGAATTAATAAAACAAAAAAATAATAAATATTCGTAAGAAAATTATGCCCGCATGTGCGGGCACAACACCTAGTTATCCAATTAAAACTCGATTATAACCCGATTATATCACATTAGTTTGGTATTATCAGATTACCAATTTTTGCTCAATTAAATAAAGAGAAATTTACACTCCTACCAAAGAATTTTGCCATAATTTGAAAAATACCAAAGAGAAAAAAGAGGACAACTTACTGAGCACAAACCAAATGACTCTATTATCCTTTTCTGAATTCCCCTTTCACCTAACCAACTCCAACGGGCAGCGCGCATGTTTCGACAGAAGAGTGAGAGATACACAAGATATTCTTTGTATCTCTTTCATCTTTCATCTTTGTTTCTCTTTCTTTCTCATCTAGAAACGATTTGTCCTTGAAAATTTTATAAAACTTGGAATTGGAACTCCGAAGATTGATGAAGTTTTTTTCTTTGTTGCAATTCTCTTTTGGATTTGACAGAGATGATACATCACTTAATTATTTTTCAATTTGAATAAAGCTTGACAATGTATTAGACATGAAATATAGTTGCGTTATCTGGAAACAAATTTCTTAACTTATTATTTATTTAGTGTTTACATCATCAAAATTTTAGTATCTGGTTAATCAATATATAGATATGCGACGTATATTTGTTAGCCAGCTATACTATTTTTTTATTTAGAATACCATATTTTCGTACCCACATAGGTTTTTAAAAAAATATTTTTCAATTTAAATAAGAAAGTTTACCTAGTTTGACAACATATTAGACATGAAACATAGTTGAATTACTCAGAAACATAATTTCTTAACTTATTTTTTATAATGTTTACATTAAAAAAGTTTTTTTTTATCTGGTTAATCCATCTAATAGATGTGCAACATATATTGGTTAGCCGGCTAAATTATTTTTTCACGTAATTTTAAATCGTAGCCGGTCAAGTGGCCGAAGTTATCCCATATTTATCTGTTGGGGGTATTGGACGAGTACTAAGGATTTAGGAGCAATTGTAATATAAGGGATTTGTGTTAAGGAACTAGGGTTGGGAGATATCCAAGGGTTTGGGTTTAAGAATTGGGGTTTAGGGTTTTGCTTTTAGGGTTAGGTGATACGTTGTACTAGTTCAGGTTTTAAGACTTGAGGGTACATGGTTTCCCCGTTTTTCGTTAGGTTTATACTTGACCATTTTCTAGATGAGTATAAAGTTTATATGTGACATTATTTATAATCGTATCCGGCTATGCAAGTTATTATCCATCTAATATGTACTTGTAGTCGGCTAACTGACTGAAGCTATCATATATTTATCTGTTAGGGATATTAGATCAGTACTAAGAGTTTCATCATTCGAGAACCTGATTGAGATCGTTGAGAAACCTACTTTAATGATTTAGAGTTTAGGATTTAGATTGAATCGTATCCAGCTATGCTAGTTATTATCTATGTAATATGAATTTGTAGTCGGTCAAGTGACTGAAGCTATCATATATTTATCTGTTAGAGAAATTAGAACAGTACTAAAGGTTTCACCATTCAGGAAATTGATTGAGATCGACGAGAAACATATTTTAATGATCTAGAGTTTAGATTTAATCGTTTCCGACTATGCTAATTATTATCCATATAATATGAACTTGTAGCCGGCTAAGTGGTTGAAGTTATCCAAATGTAACAATGATCTTCTGTCAGAGACAAATGAAAAATCTGGGAAGGCAAAACATCCACCGGATAGGACAATTTCGTCTTTTTTACACCACTACAGTGACCACGTGCACTCTATTTTTCTTCTCTTTGATATTCTCCTAGTTTTGCAATCTTTCTTTAGTTTTCACCTTTATTGCTCATAAATAAATAACTTATATCAGTACCAATATTTCCGTTATTTATGTATTGGTATTTAGAGGGTGTTATTGGTTTGTATATTTTAGTGGATTTGAAAATACAAATCAAATATAATGTTATTGGTTCTATGATTTTAAAATCCCTATTCAAATTCATTGTTATTGGTTCTATGATTTTAAAATCTATATTCAAATTCATTGTTATTGGTTCTATGATTTTAAAATAGATTTTAAAATCAAGCGTTATTCAATAA